TCTTCCCCCCCCGCCTGCCCCCCCCCCCCCCCCCACACACACACACACCAGCCTCCTCCCCTGAGCTCCTATTACTCCCAGCCTGCCCTCTCCCCTCTCTGCTCCTCACCCTCTGCATTCAACTCACATCCCCTTCTCCTGGGCAGGAGCAGGAGGGGGAACACTGAGAACACACCAACCACTGGTTTTCTGTCCCAGATTGGTCTTTGTGCCGGGCCTGGCAGCAGCAGCCAGGAGGAGCAAATGCAGGTAAAGTGAGGCTCAGCCCCTGGCAAGCCTGGGAGGGAGCCTGCTCAGGGCCAGACAGCATGGGTGGCCTTTCGGAGAGCTGGCAAGAAGCACCTCCCGGTGCTAGGGCCTTACCAAATTCAGGGACCACTGTGGTCAATTTCTAGGATTTTTTAAAAGGGTAAAAGCCCTGATTCCAGACACTTCCTTCTCAAATGTCTTAGTGTTGTAACTGAAAGGGAGACCCACAAAGGAGTCAGGGCACAAGGGTATTGCAAGGGGGGGCGGGATTGCGGCTTTTACTTCTAGGCAGCTGCTGGCAGCTGTGTTGCTTTCAGAGCTGGGCAACTGGAGAGCAGCGGCTGCTGGCCAGGAATCCCGTGCGGAAGGCAGAGCTACCGCCAGCAGCAGAGCAGAAGCCAAGATGGCTGGGTATGGTATTATCTCCCTTATTTCTATGCTGCTGCTGGCAGGGGGCTGCCTTCAGAGCTGGGCACCCAGCCAACATTATAACGACTGCTCTCCAGCTCTGAAGGCATCGCAGAAGTCAGGGTGGCAGTACCACGAGCCTCCTAAAATAACCCTCCGCCACTTCCTTTTGGGTCAGCACCCCCACTTTGAGAAACGCTGATCTCCATGGTGAAATCAGTACAGCAGAGGGTCAAAGCCCCCAAAAGGCCTGATTTCATGGGAGGACACCAGACTTCACAGGTCATGACGCATTTTGCACTGCTGTGAATTTGATAGGGTCTTCCCCATGGTGATCCTCTGCCAAATTCCCCATCCCTGCTCCAAAGTAAGGAGGTGCTAGAGTTTCTTAAGGAAACAGTTATAAGGCCAGTTCTCCACTAGACTTGGCAGTTCAGCTTGAGGTACGAAACTCCAGCTGTGTAAAATACGTAGCTGGAGTCGGCTTACCTTAAACCGAGCTTGGCGACGTCCCTACAGTGGGAGGCTGATGGGAGCAAATGCTCCCGTCAGTTTCCCTTACTCCTAGCAAAAGCAGGAGTGCCTAATTCTGGGCAGGGGCACCCTCTGTGTTCCATTTGGCGAGACTTAACTAGACTCTCTAAATCAAACTCCAGAAGATCGATTGCAGCAGCAGTAGCGATCTTCCTTTTAGTGTAGACAAGGCCTAAGAGTAGCTATCGTGAGCAAAACAGCTTATTTTCCTGAGCCTAGTTCTTGGAAAAGGCAAAACCACCTTTGCTCAAATGTTCTCCCAAAATTTCAGCCTGGGGCAGACCCCCAACATGGACAATTTTGACCTGAATGGTTCAACTTCTGCAAAGTTATATGCCACTGAAAAATGGTCTCTCTAATGGAATCTTAACTAGAAGTGGAGCTACCCACTCCGCCAATAATACATAAATATGCTGCAAAGTCTTACTAAATTATTATTGAACCCTCCAAGAGATGCAACATTAGTTATAGTAAATGAATAATTAAACCAAGCAGCTTCTTTAAGACTGGAAATTAGCTGCCAGGATGAATGCTCAGACCTGTCTCCTGCTATTGATCGGTATGTGAAACCCTCCACTGAATTCAATGGTGAGTTCTCAGTAAAAATCCCTAGTAGGATAACAGAGCCAAAATATAGCATATTGTCCATTCATACTTTCCAAGCAACACAGGGATTAAATTAAAAGGAGGCAGATCAGAAGCAGCGTGGCACAAGAGATGCTCGAAGAGTTATGGAAATTTCTAGCTATGCCACATTCTTTCACACCTCCTATAGTCACCCCTGTATTCACACCCCACAGACTAGTAAAATAATCTTTCTACAAAATAGACCTGGTGCGATATCATCTGCAAACTAATAACTTGCTGGTCAATGAGGTGGTGAAATAGACGCATGGACATGGAGTGTCAAATGTTAAAGACATCAGTTCCGACTCGTGTCGCACAAATGAAGGCCCCACTGGTGACGTGTGTCTTAATGCAAGGCGTGTAGGGTTATTTCAGCTGCATGGAAGCTGTAAACAGAGTCCTCAGCAAGAGAGAAAAGAAAGGAGACAAAGGAAATTTGCATCTCAGCGCGCACAGGGGAAAGAAAACCACATGAAGCATCTTTCCCCTCTGCACTCCTTATCTCCTTCTCAGCTGGATAGGACGTGATAGGGGTGGAGGCGGAACTGTAAAAGTGAGGAGCAAACACCCCAAGGGCTCTCTCTCCCTGGTTATCTCCTTCCTGGCACCTAAGGGTGCGTCCAAACTGCACCCTAAACTTGAAATGAGATGCACAAGTTGCGCTATGCAAATTACGTATCTTATTTCGAAATAGCTTATTTTGAAATGTGGCATGTCTACATGGCGCCAAATGTCAAAATGCAGCGCTATTTCCAGCCATCTCTTATTCCTCGGGCAACGAGGTTTACCGGGATGGCGAAATAGCATGCCCGTTATTTCGAAAAATATTTAAAAATAACAGGCGGCTTGTGTAGACACAGGATAGCTATTTTGGGATACCTCCAGTAACCCGAAATAGCCTTGCAGTGTAGACGTACCCTAAGAAAGAAACAGTGTTTGGACTTCTATGCCTTATTACTTTACTTGTAGTCACTTATAAGCCTCTCTTCCTTACTTTTTTCATTGTTTTAATTCAATCCAGTGTGTTTACGTTAAATTGTCATGGGAACTCCATTAAAGGCGGCCAGCTGTGTATTGTTCCCATCAGGAGACAATGGGCCTAATATCTCTGGACTGTTCACGAGTGGCTGGAGACTATAGGACACGGATTTTTGGACGGGGAGTGTGTTGGGTTACCCTGCCATAGTAACCAAGGCTGGTGAGAACCCCAGTGTGACCAGAGGATGCCCAGCATGCCGGTGGCTATATGCAGCACCCAACCTGGATGGCTCTCAGCAGCAAGACATTGGTTTACATGGTGGGGGATGGCACAGCCCCTCTCAGATCTGGATAACGCTACGCGATGGCCCGGAGAGCCGACTGCGGTTCCTTTTGCACGGCATGGCCACTCCCGGTTCACCCAGAGGGGAACGTGTCTGGCCAGTCCTACAGGAAGTCAGTCCTACAGCCAGTCTTGCATTGGCTTATGACTTCCCAAACTGGGGGTGTGAAGAAATTCCGGGGGGGAGTGTGAGGTGACCCAGCCCCTCACTCCCCCCCATCAATCCCACCCCACGTTTTGCTGCTATTTTTGGGGGGGGGGGCGTGAGGGTTTCTCAGAAATCAAAAAGGGGGCGTGATGCCGAAAAGTTTGGGAACCACTGTTCTGATCACCTCTCTCTTTAGTGGCATCTACTGTTTGCATTAGGAGGAGCATTGCCAATAGATCTAGGCAAGTGATTCTTCCCCTTTATTTGGCACTGGTGAGGCCACCTCTGGAGTATGGCATCAAATTCTGGAGCCCCCATCACAGAAAGGCTGTGGACACATTGGAGAGAGTCCAGCGGAGGGCAACCAAAATGACTCGGTGGCTGGAGCACTTTGAGGAGAGGCTGAGGGATTTGGGCTTATTTAGTCTGCAGAAGAGAAGAGCGAAGGGGGATTTGAGAGCAGCCTTCAGCTGCCTGCAGGGGGGTCCAAAGAGGCTGGAGAGAGGCTGTTCTCAGTGGT